TGTGGCTGCAGACATATACCATGAGAAAAACGTAGTACTAAACAGCACACTTGGTTTTAAGCCTGACAGATAAATATGGGACTACAAACCTGCTAAAAATCAAAAGGGACAGGAAAAAAATGTGTGCCCTTTATTGAAACAACAGAATGAAGCCTCTCAAAATAGTCACAATAATTTTGATAACATGTAGTACATAATAAAATTGCTACTCTATCTATGTTCAGAAGTATGTTAAGGAAAGATGCCACAGCCAGAACTATTAACTCTAATAACTGTAACAGCAAGCAGATTCCTGGTTGTTTGGCATTACAAGTGGTAAACGTCTCAATATTCAGGAAATGCTTGCAATTCGTAGAAAAAAATATTTCTTTTTATGTTTGCATGGAGAAAACATCAGTTAAACTGACATACAGGTTAACAGAAAGAACCCTAAACTCTGCTTACTAGGAGATAGAATGAAAAACATGGCAAACTCCAGCACAAGTTTAACCTGCTGCAAATATCTCCAGAAATCTGGCTTCATCTAGTCAACAACAAGGAACTAGAACCACATAAAAGCAAAACTGAAAGATGACGCAGTGAAACAAAACTTTGTTATTGAGCAACCCTGAAAACATCACCTACCACCAGAGGGGAGGGCAAAGTCTGCATCCTGACCAATTATCCATGAATCCAAGTTTTGTCTATCTTGCAGTGTTTAAAACAGGAATTTTTGTCTTTTTTTACCCAAACTGTAGGATAAAGGGCTGTTCTACAGTTCACTAGGTCACAATAATGAAAGGGACAGGAAGTTCAGAATTACCACTCTGAGGGATATCACAGCTGAAATACCAATATTGCAATTACCTGGACCATACAGTTCAGTGTCAACTGAGCACATTCTCAGCATGTTTCAATTGTTTTGACTGAAACATCATCAGGTGAGATGCCAAAATACAACATAGAAGAAAGCATTTAAAGGCTGTCACCTTGAAGATTTTCCTATTTTGAATAGCCACCATGCTCCTCCCTCGCATCAAAGAGAAGTGTTTAGGAACTGAAACAGGCAGTGTACGTTTTATGCTTCTTCAGGGTTATGTGTTTGCTTTTCAGTTCTACTTTTAGTGACTCTTTGATGTCGGGGAAAACATGAATTTCTAGCCTATCCCTTTGAGATAAAGGCATTATCCCAGAAACTTAGCTAGTAATTTCAGAAGAGAGGTGAGAGGGACCACCTGTGACATGGCAGCTTTTGGCATCAAACTGACCTGTTATCCCATCTTAATTCATGTTGCAAGCTCAAGTCTTCATGGTCCACTGCCTGCTCCAGGTTTAAACTACTAACATGGTCGACTATCCTTCTATCACTCAGCCTCTGAGCTTTGGACATCTCTAAGTATTTCCTATCAGCAATTCACAAACAGATGGCACCAGCCTGGGAGATGGATGACTGCTCCCAGCTGTCTGCCCCTCCCTGCTCAGCACAGAAATGGCTGAGCTGTTCGTAAAGCAGCTGCTAAACTACTTACTCCTTCCGAACAGCAATCTAACAAACAGCCACCCATTCTAGCCCTCTTGCAAAAAGGTGCTCCAAGACAGGTGCTGGTGCAGCAGAAGGCAACACTGGATAGTTGAGGCAGTAGCTCCTTTCTTCTAAGCTTTTGCTATCTCCCTTGTAAATCAAGGCCCTAATAGTGTTTTGTCAATATAAGTATCACTGTGCAAGTTACTATTTTTAATTTCCCTGTCCTTAGTAGTGTTGGGAAACCTGGTCTATTTAGCACCTCCATGCAAATCTCACAAAGGTACTAAGCTTTTTCCCTCTGCTTTCTCTAGATCAGTCCTGAAGATGCCAGGAGAATCTATGACAGAATTTGGTGTTTGGGATTTCATACGAATACTACAGTTATTATTTCTCCCACGGAAAAAACATACTTGGAAAATGTGAACAACAGACTTGTAATATCCCTATTTTACTCTAGCAGGCAACACGTACCAAAAAAAGTTATTCTGCAAGACCTTAGTGGTACCAGAAGGCATGAGACCAGCAAGGCCCCAGACTCAATGCTTCTAATGTCAACACAGTGATTAGGAGAAAGGACAGCATTCCATATCAGACAAGACAGCTGCCTGTGCCTTAAGCAGGTGGTAAGCAAAGACTGCTGGAGAGGACAGTGAGGGCTTGCACCTGGAGCTGTGCTGTGGTATGAGCTTATTCAGTCAGCATGTTGCCTCCATGCAGAAATGGAACATGCCTAGGATGGAAAAAGATAATGAAAGAAAAGGCAGCAAAGGCATCGAGACAGATCATCAGTGTACAGAGAGGAGCTGGCTGACTTTCAGGTGAAGAAGGAACCAGGTCCACTCAGCAATCAGCAGAGTGTTGCCTGAAGAGCTGTTAAGCAGCCAGCTTTGAAGAGTCATGGAAACAGTAGCATGGAGCCTGTGCATAGGCTGAAACACACCTTTCTGTGCATTTTTAAAGGTATTTAAGCAAAACAATGAAAGTTCATATCGGCTCAGGGCATTTTAGATAGTTCAAAATGTTTTCTGGTAAAAAGCTACTAACTTTAAATGGAAAATAGGTTGCCTCACAACAGATGAATTGCACATAGAAGAGATACTGGGACCTGGAACATCTTGCCAAAATACTAGTACCACGTGAGCCACTCCTTAGTGGGAAAAAGTGAAATGGTCCCAGTTTTGCCAAGGAAAATGGGCATATACAGTTCTCTGTAACACCTCACCCCTTGGTTCAGCAAGCTCTGTGCAAGTCAGTCACAGGGCAGCTAAACAACCATCCCTTCAGAGGCAGGGCCAGCTCCACATTGAGCTTGTTCTGTTCCACCAGCTGGCTTGTAAGCAGTGAAGATGAAATCAGGGACTATATTTATTCTCCGTGCCTGGTCATATCTTTCTATAGATCCCAGGCTGGGCCCTGCTTCCTTGAACAGGATCCGGTAGACTAGTAAGAAAAGGAGGGCATAAATCATTGCCTCGGGTTCTGTCAGAAGCACACTGCACCAACCATCCATACTTGGAACAGGTGCACTGAAGGCAAGCAGGGACACTGTCCCATTTGGAGTAGTGGGGGAGGGCTTGCAGAGAAACTGTTCTTCTCCTGGTGCCTACTCTTAATTTTTCACCCTGCAAGTGAGTTATTTACCTCCTGCAGCTCACCACCAGTCCAGTCAACTAGATGTGTTCCACTAAGCACCAGTCCACGCTAGGTCAGGCCCCAGCTAAGTTTCATTGGTTTCTGTAGTCCACTGCACCTTGCTTCTGCTCTCATTTATTTCTTTTGTGGTTCATTTCACTCTCTGCTCTGACACATTCACTGCAAAGCCGAAATATTCCAGGGACCACGCAGAATGTTTGGTAAATTATTACAGTCTTAAAACACAATTGTAATTTTTCACCAGTAATTTTAAAAGTCACCTGTCATGAAAAGTAATGCAAACATAGAGCAACAAGGACTATGTTACTAATTTATGCTTTAAAACCATGGGGTGGACTCTCAAGTTATATTTTAGTTTGAGTAACATTTTAAGCAAGTATTGATCCCGAAAGAAGCAGTCTTACCCTCACCTCAACAACGGCTGCTCATTCCCACTCTCATCATCCTTGTAAACCCAAGCAGGAGAGCAGCATCCAAATTGAGGTTCATTTTTTTCCCCTTTCTGGCTGCTTTTAAGTTGGATCACTCCCCCGGTTGATTCCACAGCACAACCACAAAAAGTGTTTGTGCCAGCAGAGAGCCGGAATTGATGTCTGGCTGAGAATGCTAACACTTGCTTAGCCTCAGGGTGATCAGCGTTACCCAACATATACTGCTCTTTGCAGATACAATGATGTGTGTACCCAGTAAAACCATCCACTGTAGATAAGGCCATGTAAACAAGGCCCCACCCATGCCCCCACAGTCAGAGCAATCTGTTTCCTTGCTCAGGGAACAATAGCCTGATGGGTGGACAGAAACCTGCACAATGACTTGGGAAGTGCTCCATATGAAGCTTCGGGGCATGCATGGAGCATCCCTTGATGGGGCCTGCAGAGAGAGCAGATTGCAAGGTGGGGGTGGGGGGAAACCCGACAAGCACTGGCTGGGTAGTTCAGAGGGCTGGGTAGTTTAGAGGGCTGCCTTCCATAAGATCCTTCCTACTGTGCTTTGAGAAACAGTCCGCCTCGGGACTTGTAACCAATGTTAGGCACTCTGCCTTCGCTTTGCTTTTTAGTCACAGAAGTACCAGGTGGCTTCTACCAGTGCTAAGCTAGAGAATCCAGGCCAGAACAACTTCTTGTGGACAAAATCAAGAGAGAAATTTCAGCTGTGGAAAAGGTAAACAATCAAATTCAAAAGCATGTGTACAACCTACAAAGTCGAATTCTGCTACAGCTTCAAGCCAGTGCTCCTCTGCATTCAGTGCTGGGTATCTAGCTAGCTAGATGAGAAGCAGCCACGTGAAAGATATTTGTGTCAGGACTATGAGAAGGCAAACTACAACAAAGGGGAGTAGACAGAAAGATCTGCTTTCTACCCTTCTTAAGGTCTGAAAAGTGTAGCTACTTGACAAAATGTAGGTGTTTACACATCGGCAGAGCTATGCAGGGGTTCAGGAGCTGAACTTCTGCCTTGTAGCACCAGAGATGCAGACCTTTTCCTATTCCTACCTCCAAAAAGAAAGGTGGGGACAGCAGAGAGAGATACTATATAAAATAGATTTAGCATACCATGAAGCCACTAGATTACATGTATCTAAAGATTAGTTCAGTAGTGTGCCCAACTCTGGGATCTACCTTATAGATAGTCCCTTGAAAAAGACATCTGTAACCCTTTCTGATACGTAAATGTTAAAATCTTCACCAATTTTCCAAAATACAACTTGAAGCAACCAACTGCATCAGCTTGGGAATGCCCAAGAGGAGAGAATTCATTCAGAGCGTCTCTTGGTACAAAGACAAGTGGCTTGCATGGGGTAGGCTGCCCGGAGTGTCGTGATGTGCCCTTTCTTTCTCCTTACCATACATCTTGCCTTCGTCTGACAAGATAATCTTCCGCCGACCACATGGTGGGTAGATGGCTAGCGCTTCCTGGAAGCTCTGCTCGATGTCCGGACTCCACACCCCCTCAGCGTCATTGTCAATGGGTTTGTCCAAGGCCTCGCTGCCCCCCGAGTCGTTGCTCCCCTCAGGGGAGGTGGGAGAACTCCACTCGTTGGAGGTAATGGTGCCAGCTAGAAACTCCAAGGTGCCACGTGGAGAAGCAGACTCAGAACCTGTAATGGCAAGCACATCACACGTCAGTTGGAAATTTTCCTCTCTAGGAAAATGTGGAGATACTAAAGGAAAACAAAAAAAAGTTAAAAAACCTCAGTGAGGAGGGGTTTTACTTCAAGTTTACCTTAAACGGTAACTCAACCATGTGCTTGATTTCTATTTATGTTGAGATGAAAATCTTTTCTGACAAAACAGCCTGCTCCAATCTCTCTTTGGCTTATTAACTCTCTGTCACTTCCCAGTTCTCCTCAGATGTGTCTTCTTGTCTATGTCTTTATCTCCTTATTTCTTTCTCCCTCTGCTGTTATTATCCGTGTAACTGTTATTTAACTTTCTGAAGTACACATACAGGGACTCAGTCTGTGTGAAAGACTATACAAAATACAGCAGTGATGAATTATCTAATCATCACTGAGCACTGGGGTTGAAATTTTCTTAGATACTGTTTCACTGGATCAGAGTTAGTAGTCGGTGTCATTTCTAACATTGACATTTCTTCTCAAGGATCATCTGCGCTTTCAAAAGCCATTCCTGGAGCCAGACAGTTTAATGCAATGTCTCCCAAATCTCAGCATCATATCCTGGCAGGAGCAGAAAGCACCATGAGTAAAGGCATAACTAAAAGCACTAGGTTGCAGGTCAAGAACCTGGGTGCTTAGCCTGTTCCTACTGCTCATCTTAAAATCGACCTATGGCAAATTCCTTCAGTTCCCTCTGCCTCTCTGCCCCCTTATCCTTTACCGATCCCAGGCTATTAGATTTGCCACTGGACAGGAGCAGAAATTGGTTTCTCACTGGACCTAAGCAGGTAGCTGCGAGATCTTGGAAACTACAATAAATTACAGCCTACTTATAAATGCCTAGAGTAGAGGCTGAAGCCACTGAGTGGAGCTGATGAAACACTCACTGAGAAAGACTGCAGACCACACAGACACTTCCAGTCAACCATCAGGGAGACAAATGCCTTCTAAAGACACAGATCATTCCCCTTCCTTAATCCCAAAGTTGTTTGTTTACCATTTTAATAGTTTAGGTTATCTGGGCTACAAAGAATGTTCACAAGCCAGCATTTGAGAATCCCTCCAGAGTTCAAAACTTCCCTGTGTATCACCACTTTGAGCTGTGTAGCAAGAAAATCAGAACAAGGATTTTTTTCCAAGAGCAACAGAATCAAACCTGTGCTGAAAAATAGTAAGGAGAGGGCTCTGACATGCCAAGTCTCCAGCTCAGAAATATCACATTAAAAATACAAAGGGGGACTCGGGAGAAACTGGAGCATGGTCTATGTAAAAAACTAGATAGAAAATAAAACTGTGCAGTTATGCTATGCCCTAGTTGATAAAAGGAAAAGTGAGTCCATTCGTTACACTTCAGAAGTTTAAGAATTCAGGACTCCTGGCTCCAGAAACTTTTCTGACACTTTTTTTTAAGTCCTTGGATTTTGTGTTTACAAAAATCTTCTCCGAGACCATAATGACAAGATTTTATTAAGAAAAACTGAAAGTCTTTAGGAATTTTAACATTTCAAGAGCTGAAGTTGTAAAAAGATTTGACAACACTGGCTTTCAGTTTTTTCTGCTCCTTAATGACTTTAGGCAGCAGCAGATACATATTTTATGTCTCCATAGCCCACCAAAAGTTAAGGAAACAAGTAAGACAACACCAGGCCTTTTAGTAATTTCTAGACACATTGTACTGTGCAGCATTTTAACAAGTGCTTCACAAAGACATTTAGAAAACCCAGTATACAACTTATTTCCGGTTAGAACATGTGAACCACTCTCCATCCATCCATTTCAGCCCCTATATCAGATTATTTCAGTCTTCTTGACCCATAGTATATATTTTCAGAACTCTAATGAACATGAGAAGAAAAAATGAAATGGGAGGTCAGGGGGGCAGGGCAGAAAGGGTAGCTCACACATGGCCTTTACCAATGGCATAGGCATTCCAAGCACACTGTCAGTGGCACCAAAGCAGACAATGTGACTTTAAGAGACACTGAAATTAAGGGTAATAATTGCTTCCCGTACCAAGAATCTACCACTAACACATCACCTTTCACTGACAGAGCCTAATAAAACATTACATGGGTATCCAAGAGGTTGTCCTGCTGGAGAATTAGTGTTGAGGAGTAAGCTTTCCACGGGGAGACTCTGACAGAAAAACAGAAGTTATGTGTTCCAAATGTTCTTCTTTTGAAATTTCCCCAACCATCCCCAGTCCCTGGAGGCTCTCGAGACCCCTCCCATAGTTAATGTACATTAAAATCTTCACAAACACAAGGCACAGACTAGTTTTAACTCAGGCTGACAAACCGAGAAATGGAAGGGTTCAGAAAGAATCCTAAGGTATGACAGCAAGTGTATTCATCCTACCACCTGCATTGGGAGCTGCAAGTCTCATAACAGCCAGCAGGCTCCACACGAAGTGAAAACATGCTCTGCCTGCTCATCTGTGTGACTCCCACAGCCATGGTCACTGGAAGCTGCTCCTCTGCTGTCAAGCCAAATCCCCTAGCGATGCATACAAGCAGACAAAGTCATCTAGGGAATGAAGGACTATCATGACCATAAAAAGCACCAACTTTGAATCCAGTTATTTTCATCTCCTTAATGTCCATGCTGACACAGATGAATACCTAGCAGATGATTTCATCATGGCACACTCCTAGGCTGAAACTAAGTAAATATATCTGAAGCACAACTCTCCTCCTCCCACATTCACACCCTAGGAGTCGTTGCCTGATCATTTCATGTTTTACAGGGCTCTGCATCTGCCCTAGCACTAAGTGCTTTTGGTGACAAAGGAATCTCTGAGTCCTTTCCATTCCTCCAGAATAACTGGAGGAGAAAACACACTCTATTCAGTTTAGTGTCAGCTCTCCAGGCTCTCTTCTCCAAACATGAAAGAAAAGTTGCACCAACTTGAGCAGATGTCATTTTTACATTCAGGGAAATCCACTGAGCAAGAGACTGAATATGTGGGCTTTCTCTCATACTGGTGTAAATCAAGAGATATGGAACATAATAGCAGTGACAAAAGAAATTACATAAATCTAGAAGTGACTAGATATTTTTTTATGCTTCTTACTTTTTGTGCCTCGACCAGCAATGCTAGTCCTGTTTCAAGCTACAGTTAGGTCAGTAGGAACTGAAATGTGCTATTGTGGGCAATCCCAACTTTTCTACACCTTGAGGCCTGATTCTGCTTTCCCTTCTTGGGACGAAACCAATTCATGATGGATGATGAGAAAAGTGGAACAGTACAGACTGTGAAATCAAGGACGTTTGGCCATCTCCAGCTGAAGACTCTGTAACCACCCAGACACTAACACAAATTGGACTTTTATTTGATAACTTCTGAAGAAATTCCATAGACTGAAATGGCCATGAAAATCCTTATAACTCTATGCCTCTAGATCAGTAAGATACCACGGGCTGAAAGGGCCTGTCAAGTTTTCTTAAATAATGTTGCTTAACTAGCAAGATCCATGTGCAATTCCAAGCAATACTCTATGCTCAGAGGCAATAAACAGTAATTCAGGGAGTCCTGGTTGGGTGCTATCTGGGGTCTGTGGCTCTGCTTTGAACACTTCAAGCCTTCTGTTTCCTGCATTGTTGATGCCACTCATTAAAATAAGCAAAGCAAACTAAAGAATCTGGGGGCTAAACCCTGTGGTGAATGGCTTTATTAGTACGGCAAATTGAAAAACTGGCAATGGAATCACTTCCCATGGAATGAGCAATCTGGTGAAAAACAGAGAATTTTTCAGAAACATGAGAGTGTTGAGTGTCTTATTCATAACAAAGGTTTGAATAATATTCATTAGTAACTACTTTAACAAAACAAAATGTTTCAGTTAGCATCCAGTCAATAGTTGCTGTATGCATACAGCTTGGTTACTCTAATGGTGATTTCTATTACTGATGTTCTAATATTGCTAAATATTTTAGTGCTAGCATTTTTTTCTTAAATTTTGCCTGTGGTAGAGTTTGTAATCACAAAGCTTTCTTCTGACATGGAGGGAATTTAATTTTGAAAGCACTGAACAGACATCCCTGACACGCTCAGACAATTCCTTCCCCATGTGAATTCCCTCAACAGGCACAGTTCTGAAGGTCACAGGAGTCAGAGGATGTTGTCCCATTCTCATAATAGCAAGTTTTGCCAGAGATCATAGGACTTGGTGTTTGTTCTCTTCAGATTCCCTCAGTTAAAACTTATGCTCCATTCCTTGGCTCTTGTATATCTGCAACTGTATCCTAGAGTTTTCCTTATTCTGATGCCACACTTATTTTACTGAGAGATGATGAATAATCTTTTTCTGTAGGGTCAAGTCATGGGTTCTCTTCCAGGATCAAAGACACAAATCTCCTCACAGCACATCCACCTCCTCACCACAGTATCTCTATTTCCTTCTTAATGTCTCCCTCTGTCAAATTATTGTTTCTTGTTGACTCTTGTTCCCTGTTCTTCTCTCTGCCATGGCCCATCTCTTAACGAGTCACTCACAAAGGCAGGGGTTTGGGTCTGAGGAAAGCAAAACCGTGGAGAAAGCACAAAAATCTTTCAGCTCCAGCAGCTTTGGTTTAAGTATTCCAATTTTGGTAACTTCAACACTCTCTTTCCTTTCACACATGGTATCTCATTGAGATTCAGAGATCCTGCAGGGCTAAACAGCTGCCAAGAGCCCTTCAGCAAGGTCTCATTGACAGGGAGCACATCTTTAACAGACTCCATAGTCTGACACATCTGCTTTCTAATATTAATCCCTCAGTCATTACTGTTGGTAACAGCTCCCTCTTAAATGTTTGTGGCAGCTGCTCAACACAAAATCATACTTTCCTGAGGATCTGAAAAATTGCATCCAGCTGTCTCCAGTTGTTCAGTTTTCTTAGAGCTGCTCTGTCCAAAAAAACTCCCCCTACTCAATGGCCATTCCCTTTCCCTGTTGGAATTGATCACAACACACTAACCAGCCAGGTCCCTGTTCACTCACCCCTCCAAGGCAGGAACGCTTGCCAGCACAGCCATGTGGAGTCTGACAGTGCAGTTCCACTCCTGCTCCTGAGCTGGCTGCGCTCTGAGAAAGTCACTGTGCTTTACTGAGAACATCCCATACATCCCATCATCCTCGGTGTCATTCAGTGGAACCGCAAGCTGTGGGGGCAGGGGCTGCTTCCCCTTACAGGTATTCCTTGGTGTCATTGTAATGCAAACAAAACCAAACAATTCCGGTATTCACTACCTTGGTAACGTGAGCCAAATACTGCTACTACAGAGGATCTGAACTACAACATTTTCATATCTGATCAGCAGTCAAACTGTGAATTTTAAAAAATTAGTTCAGCCAGAACAGGTGCTCAAACGATAGAGTAGTTTACAACAGTAAGAAAACCTGGAAAAAGGAACAACCAGTCAATTACTTCTATCCAGAACAGCTAACAAATGAACTTACACAATGCAGTCATACAAGGAGATTTGGGTTTAGGGAAACAACGATTTGGGATACCAAGAAACCTACTGCACAAGGTACAAGATGGAAGAGAGCATTCCAACTTACCAGAGGAAGAAGGCTGGGAAATTCTATGGGATACTACAATAGTATCTTAGTTCCTCTGAAAGAGAAGAATGAGTGCAATCAGTAGATGAGCAGCTCCAAGATAGTTCAACTCAAAAACTGCAGGAAAAACTTACTAGAGAGGGAAAAGATGGGAAAACAGCTATTCAATGATAACTCAAGGTCTGTTAAAGCTTGCAGGCATAAGAGGACAAAAATCATGGACGTGTTTACAGAAAAAAATAAAGATGCAACTGTAGTAAGACCAATGAGCACTGAACTATATGCTGAAAGTAACAGCATTTTTGCAGCACCAGACAGCAACAAGTTTCTAAGGTTAAGCTGCACTCCCATCATTAAACCAGCCTGGAGCCAGAGCCACTCAGTTTCAGCAGAAGATCCAGGGACAATGCAGATGGGTAGGTGCAGTTCACTGAGCCTTTTGAGGGGACTTCACTCAAGCACTCCATAACAGCTTAGCCAAATGGTGAGCCTGGCTATAATCTCTCTTTTTGCCCAGAGCATCCTGCAATCCTGAGCCTTGCTGGCTATCCCCTGTGAATAGCCCTATCCACCCAGGACACCAGAGTAATACTGCATAATCCAATGAATAAAACCAGTTAAGGTAAGTGATACTTGCTGTAGGTGAAGTAAAAGCTCTTAGCTGGCAGCAGTGCCAGACAAAGGGGAAAGAACTGATATTTTCCTCTATGTATTGGGCAAAGTAATATACTCACTACGTCTAAAAGCTGCACGGTGAGATTTTTGCCTCTGTCTCACCTCTGAATAAGATTGGTTTACAAAGGACCAAGCACTACTAGCCTCAGATCATATCCAGCATAAGGTTGGGCTCCAGATGAATGACTGTCACACTGCCTAACACAAAATCAAGCTTGGTTTGTTTGCTACACCGAAACTGCCTGCAGCAGCTGCTGTTCAAAAGGCACCTGACTTCCCGAGCAAAGCAAAACAACTCTTAAATTATTGCAGTAGCTAGCTCTGGCTGAAACAGAGAGAGGATGTAGTGTCCAGCAGAGTGATATAAATCAAAGCAAGGAGAGAGCAGAGCTTGTATCAGTGCAGCCCTGGATAATGCAGTCAAACAGGATGCGATGAGATAAGGCTGTGTGTGGCCTTGCACACCATCCAATCAGTTACATTTGCGATAAAGGAAACAGAGCACAGGGCCTTGCTGCCCTGAGGAGGGAAGAAAAAAAAACCCAGGAACCGACAACAAAAACCCAAAGGCTGGTTCTGATCCCACTAGTCTAGGGGTGGCCGGCTTAGGGATCAATCCTGAGTGACGGGTAACTGATGCACAGCTCCCAGGCACAGGCCACATCAGACAGCCGCCAGCCCTGGACTGACAAAATGACTACTGCGTGATTAATGTCTCTGCTGGGAGGGAAAAACGAGCCAGCAAGGGCAGCAGAGATTGACACTGCCAGGTTGTCCTGGGATTGAGCCACACAGTGGGCCGGCCCCAGCTCTCAAAGGAACAGTGGAATTCCTGGGGAGTCACTGTTGTCTCCCATGTGGGAACTGTTCCCAGAGCTCCCGTTCTCCCTGACTTTCCAAGACATGTGGCATGTGTTTCACAGCTTCCCAAACAGATGAAGGTTGTGGCAGGGTGAAAATGGTTAGTCACCCTTGTGCTGGCAGCAGCGGTGACCAGGAGTCATTCTCCCATCAAGCACAGAGCTGGTTAGAAAGCAAAGACCCAGGAGGAAGTCAGATAATCATGTCCCTTTTCTATCACAAAATCACTGGTAATGTTAGTTAATGTGTTAAAATTATAACTGTCCCTTTAAGTACAGACGAGTGTAGATATTGGCAGTTTAAAATCACTTAGGTCTTACCAAACGAAGCTAGAGACAGAAATAAACAAAGTTGAGCATTTTCTCAAAGAGTATTATTCACTTAATTATTAGAGTATTGGGAAACTTTAATAGCAACCTAAAAAAACCCCTTGCTCCTACACCCACCAAAACTCAGTTGTCCTGAAAATCTCACCATCAGGCTCAAAAGCCCCCATTTTACCTATAGAAAAAAATACAGCACAAAGATGTAAGTGAACCACCCAACAGCAAAATCAGAGTGGGGTTAAAATGTAGACAAGAACTTCAAGACAAGAAAAGGTTAACTTTAAAAGCGATTTTCAACTGAATATGTTTTAACTTCAGACGGACTCATGTTCAACACTGTCTGGAAATAGAGCATCTTTTGAGTATTTACTGGCAAGTAACACTAAACTGAGAGACTCATAATGCCCATTTTATGATATCTAAATCAAATCCTTATTTCCTAGTCCTGCCTCCTGTTCATGACATCTTTCAATCTCTTGTCTAGGGCTCAAAGGTAGATGTTCCAGAAAAAACTCAAAACTGTGATGTACTTAGCTTCCCATGACACTAATGGCAGAATTGCACATGAACTCAAACAGAAGACAGATGTTTGCAAATCTCATCCAAAGCAGTGAAAATGTTTAGCTCCAGGACTACAGTTAGTCTCCAAGAAATTAAGCAGGTGAACTTGGGCTAAGAGACTTACAAGAGAGTAGACAGAAAGACTGATCACACAACCTGTGACTTCCACTTCTGTGGTGCTTGTAGGTGGTCTGTTTTGTGGGCATGACCTGCCTGGACAGGGCTAAGCCCTCTACTAAAGCCTCAAGACAAATGCAAGCCACAATCAGGCAGAAAAGATATATAAAATGGGAGCAATGCTTAGTGCTCCCTTCGCTTTTCCTCCTTCAGTCAACCAATTACACGTGTGCTTTGGTTTTTGTAGCAGTCAGACATGAGCTTAAAGGAGTTAGAAACTTGTGATAACACAATGACTAAGTAAAGAACACATGTGATGAAAGATCTTCATCATATGAAATGAACCCCGCTCATGGCTGCCAACCAAGCTGCTCTTTCTCAGGGTATTCAGACACCAGCCCAGCTCACTTTTGGATCACACACTCCATCTGGAACATGCAGCAGGTGAACATTCACAGCTTACAGCAAAAGTTGGTCACTTCTTAAGGCTGACACTGGGGAAAGTCAAACAGATTTGGTTTCCTGTAAGAGTCTGAAATTTCCTAGCAGACAAACACATGCCAGCCATTTAAATCAGATTCCAGTTCTCCTATTAGTTTGGTACATGGGACAGTAAAGCTGTCCTCAATTCAGACTGGTGTAATCTTGAGTTCAGAACTCTTTCCTTTCTCTACATGTGGCATAAACAGGCTGTTATTTCCAACCTGCTGAACACAGAGCGATTTCACAGAAAGCAAATGAAAATAATGAGACTCTGTAATTACAACCCCAACCCTCAAACAGGTATCAGTGAGGAAAAAAACAAACAAACACGAAAAAAACAAACAAACACAAAAAAAATGCCCAAACTGAAAAACAGTTAAACTTGTCCCCAGATATTACAGGAAAGCATGAACCTTCTAAATTATCTCTTTGCCCTTCCAGACCCTTCTCGCCAGGAAGGTCAACAGGTTATATACCTTCTGCTGGATTAATCTACAGGAGAACAAGGGCAGCTAGCCAAGCAAAACTAAATTCTTAAAGGGACACAGCCAACAACAGACTCTACTACAGTTTTTAAAGCATGTTCTTATAAATAAAACCTGTGACCAAAAGCAATGGAAAAAGACACTTCTTCTCTATTTTTCAGTTACCTTTCAAGCTGGATAAAAACAGAGATTTACATTGTTTCCCCTGCACAGCTCTTTTCTTCTGACCACATAGACCCTTCACAAACAAATAGGGCAGAGAAATGAATAGGATTTTATTAATTTATTTTAATAAAAATAATTCAAAGAGCAGTGAGTGTGCTTGGAGATAATCTTCTCATACCAACTTCTCTTTTACACCTCCCTTTTTTTTTCCCTAAGCTGACAAGATTTTCAGACCAAAAGACCAGTCTAAGCCTGGCTAATCTGGTACCAATGAGCTTTATTTTGAGGACCTGCTATGGAGAGGTATGATCAGGTAAAATGAACTTAAGACACATCAGCAAATCCTCCCTTTCCATTTCAGCACACACATGCTCCGTGCTCTCTTGACATTTCCTGCTTCAGTTAAAGCAGTCCTGGTTATAAAGAGATTAGACTTTACCTGGACATCTGTCATTAATGGTTACCATACCGTTGGAAAGGAGGCACTCTGAGGACTGCACTGATTTATTTTCTCTTTGGCAATAGAAAAGTGGATGCTTCAAAAGATTGTACCCAGGCTCTGAAAGCCACTGGCGCTCATGTCTTAGAAATACAGCAAAGCAAAACACCTACCCTTTGGCAATCACATTTTAACAAAGGTAAGAACAAGGTAATTATAAATCTACAACAGAACAGAAAAACAGAGCCAGTGACTCAGCCAGTGGCACCAGGAACTGGAAAACCTGCCCCTCCCTAGCAGGAAAACGTCTAATTCATACGGTGTTAAAAACAAAGGGGAGTGACTGCATCATCTCCAGAAAAAGGAGGACCCGAGGGGCAGGAACAATAAAAACAAAAACCCACCAAACCCTCCCCCACCAAAAAAAAGCCCAAAACCCAAGAACACAAAATACCACCTCCAAACTCTAAAGAACTCTTTCTAATCATGTAGTCTCAGATCTTGTAAAGAGCTCCAAGCATGCAAACTCCTGACTTCTTTTACAAGGTTCTACCAAGGGACACGTTGGGCACTCATTTAACATGGTGGTTGACAGAAATTGGAGAGAGGAGCATCCGTTACTGTAAATCTTAATAATAAACTTGACTGCTCTTCAAAGGAGGATAGAACTGCATGAAGGTAGAGAATGGAAAGAATACAGTGCACACCGTAGTATATTTAGACTTAGAATGCTATTTGTTATTTTTTAAGGAAATCATAGTTAAAAATTGGCTTTGGTTGTTCGTATTATTAGAAAATTAACAGCTTCAAAAATAAGCATAATGATATATATGTTATATAATATAGATATGATGTATAATGATACAGAAACAGAACCAACAGGTACAGGGAGTGTGCATCCCCTGGGTTGCTGAAGGGATCTTTGCTAGTCCAGTTGCCTTTGACATCTGAATCAAAGATCTAAGGCTGAATAAAGGTAATGTTGATGAAACTTGCATGATACAGAATGACATTTACAAACACTGGGGGATAGAAACAACTCAAAGGGAGTTAGACAGCATAAACACAAATGAAAGAAGCATGAGAGAGAAATGAGACTGTGGAAAAAGTTATGCAAAGAAAATTAAGAAATAAGAATGAAAAATACCCCAGAGATAAAATCAAGGAAAAAGCCCTGCCAGAAGCGGGAGCTAAAGACATGCAAGAGTGAGAACGCTGTACAAATGACAGAGTTGTCTGCAAAGCAAAAGCTTCTACAAAATGACCAATGTGACTTTAATCTGCCTGGGCTCAGATATCACTTCAGGCAACAAAGAGAGATGAATCACCTCCAATTCATGAAATATCCTATCTCATTCTGCAGAAGGAACACAGATAAACTGAAGAAAGTGAAAAGAGTATAAAAAATCCACATTAGGACTAGAATAATAGACATTGACAAATATTGAAATTTTAGCCTCAGTAATAGCTTTTAGGAACTTTAAGATGCAAATGCAGAGATAGAAAATAAACAATCATTTCAGAGAAATAGCAAGGCAAAAACTGTTCCAACAGAGTAACAAAAACTTTCCTGATGTTAAAGTACATTGGGTGATGAAAAAGTTGCCCAAGAAAATTTTTACATAATATTTGAGGGAATGGGAACCAAACCGCACCCAACAAATGAACAAAAGACAAACCCGAGCTAAAGCGAAAGCATAATAGATCTTTAAAGAAAGGTAACACCGAATTTTCACTTTCTTAAGATACAGCTGTGGCCAGAAATTCATTTCACTATCACAGGAACTACTGTAGACACGGTCCAAGGAACTACTTAAGGTGCGGAAAAATGGCAACGTTGCTAAGAAAATACCCCCAGTTCTTCCCCGACTGCTCACCCTCTAGTCATTGCACCCCCTCCTCCAGACGCTCCAGCACGTGGCCGTACGATTAACTTGACTGGCGAACAGATGTGGCTGGAAACGAACTTGCTAAAAGAGAGTGTTACTTTTCATCTGGATCGGCCCCCTGACCCGAGCCAGTGACCAGCAGTGCCAGTGTCCCTGCCAGCAACAAAGCACAGAGGTGTGACAAGTAAGGAAATGGACGGTTTGAGGCTGTGGGGACTCCACAGCAGTGCCAGCCTCAAGTCTTTGTGGACCCACCCCTTGGGTTATGGTGGGACAAAACCAAGAGCTGAAAGATACAATCAGAAAAGGACACATAATACTAAGGAAGGAAAGCTGTGAATGAGCATAATGTCACTCCAAACAGAGATGAAAGCAGCATCTCTTGGAGACTGTACTTTTCAGCAACGCTCTCAAAACACTACTAACTGTATTCGAATTCTATGAAACAAATACCTGAGTAAGAAAGCCAACAGCAACTGTGATTTTATGTAAGCCACAAGCAACATTGGGTGCCATAGAGCCCTTTTTTTTCCTCTTTAAAATTTGGCGGTACTATTTTCATACCATATTTCCACAAGTGTTCTGTAAAACACCAACATTAAAGCACTTGGCACAATAATAACCTAAAATATTTCAAAGCAATTGGTAGAACTAATTTAAAAATCCAAAAGATGTATCAGGAACGGAGACAGTGGAGAAATTCCTAGCACCCGTGCTCATGCACACTTATTTGCTTCCAAGATCACCTCCAAGAGGATACAAACAATGAGCTGATAGTCCAGTTTAGAGACTGATAGACTTTGTTTCATGCTTGAGTTTGAGGGAGCAATCCACAGAGGGATTTAGCAAAAACCCAGAAGGTGACTGCACCTACTGACTGGCTGACCTTCACTCTGCCAATCCAAGTTCCAGAGAAAACTGGAGTCCCTCAACATTCAGCAGCTCTAATAAAAATGTCCCCCTGTATTCACTACAGGACGATCCACGCTTTTCAGTGGTGAGAAAGAAACCTATCAAAACCAAAATGCTTTAACTGCACAGGTGATAACACAGCAACCCAGCCCTACCACTTGCTGTATATCCACTCTGCTTTCCCCCTCGTTCTGTTCCTCTCGCTCCTCCCCGTTACTCTCTGCCCCGTCCTACTGCCCACTTCCTTCTGCAGGAGAACAATAAAACCTCTTAAATCTACACAGACAGATGGACAGACAGGTGAACGAATGCTCCGCTCACTTTGCACACAGACACCGCAATAAGGTGTTGGGGAAACCGATCTGTTCGCAGTAATAGGAAAAGGGGGAAAAAAAAAAAACCAAACCTAAATCTCCTTCTCTCCCACCCCGCCCCCCGCGTTTGAAAAGGTATTTTTGCTGTTTATTTGTAAAGGAGCCACAGAACTCAACTTCTAAGGCTAGAAAGCAACATGAGTGTAACTTCAGGTTAAACAAAGACAAAATTGGTAATTAGTTGTGGTTAGTTCTGGGTTTTTGTTTGTTTGGGGTATTTTTTAACTTACATATGACCATTCACTTTAAAATACTTAACAGAAGTCCTTAAGCGCGTTGAGTTACATTCTTCTGCAAAAAAGCCCCATCTTTAGCATCCCATGCAAGAGATTGTTTAAACGGAATTATCTACATAAGATAAGAGATTCCTTGGGAAAGCTTATTGTTTGTTTTTTATGTCTGTTTGTTTGTTGGTTTTAATCCTTTCCGACGGCATGCCACTAAAACTGAACCCTAAAGTTCAGAAAAACTGAACTGGGAAAAACATTATTCCCTCATCTTTTGGTAAATACTCTGCAACAACCCACACGCCTTCTCACAGATAGGCTTCCTTAGGAAATTTTGTTTTGTTTTTCTAAAAAACATCTTCCAAAATTTACATTAAAATTTATTACAGAAAGTACTGCTTCTCCTCTCCACTCTCCCCAGGCACATCTCTACGAACAGTACAGAAACCTTGTTTGTTTGGGGTTTTTTTTCACATTAGCGCTGTAGTTTTCAGCCGATGCGACAAGAGACCGAGCTCCCGAAGTGCCAGCGCCGGCAGCCCCTTCCCGACGGGAGAAGCCGCCGGAGCCTCCATTGAGGATGTTCCCATCGCTTCCTTTGTACGCCTGTGCCTCCTCTGTTGCACATAACCGGGTCCGAACCCTCCCTTCCAGCCCGTCTCCCGCAGGCACCCGCTCCCCTTCGCCCCGCGCGAAAGCGACCGTGAAACAGCGTGTCCTGACCTGAGCGGGGCAAGAGCGGCTGCGGTTCCGTAGGGGCAGCGGGGACCGGCTTCAAATCCTCCTTCAGCTCCAGGACTTTCTGCCAAAAGAGCACTGAGCGCTGTTACTGCGCGCCTGCCCCTCGCTCCCGCCCGATCCCCACCCCCGAGCCCGCAGGGGTGGGAGCGGGGGCTGGGACAGGGGGAGCGGGCGGGTCAGCCTCCCGCTCAGCATCGCCGCCGCTAAGTCCGAGAGAAAGAAAAAAAAGTTGGCGAGGAGCAGCTCCGGGGTGGGCCCTCGGGGCTCCCCTTTCCTCGGTCCCGAGGCGGCGGGGATATGCGAACAATGCCGGGCCGGGAGGGCGGCCGGGAGTGGATGGGATGGGATGGGAGCGGGGGGGCGGCCGGGCCGGCGGGAGCGCAGGCACAAAGCGCACACTCACCTGAGGAGCGCGGAGCGGCCGGCGGAGCGGCGAGCGGGGCGGGGGGGCGGCCGGGCAGGAGTTTGGGAGGAAAAGGGAGGGATTTTATTTCCCCTGGAGTTTGAAAGGAGGAAGTGAGGAATGCTAGGAATGAGAGTTGGTATGAAATGAACGCGGCCGAGGGAGGGAGGGGACTGCCGGCTAGCGCAGGGGCTGGGACGGGGCTGGGAGGGGACTGCCGGGGGGCGGGGGGCAGCGGGAGAAGGGCCGAGGCGGAGTTGGGAACAAAACCCAGCGGGGCCGGGCGGTCCCCGGCCGGGGGCCGTGTGTGACCGGGGCGGAGGGAACGCGGGCAATGGCCGGAAGAGGGGCCCGCGGGGGCGGGGGAAGGAAACTCCGGGAGCGGGGGAAGGGGGCGGCTCGGGAGCGCTGGGAGCGGGCGGGACGCGGCTGCCACCGCCTCCTCCAGGGATGGAGAGCGGGCGCGGTGCCCGGCCCCGGGAGAAGTTGGAGTCTGCGGCCGCGAAGGGCCGACCTCAGCCGGGGGAAGATCCCTGGGAACGCCGCCGCTCGCCTGGTGCTTTCCCAGGGGCGGGACTCCGGCGATGGGCCGAGCGCCCGGCGAGGGGGCTCCGGTGCCGGGGACACCCCCGGCCGTCCGGGCAGGACACGGCTTCCCTGGGTAATCCCTGCGAGCCGGTCCCGGCCCGCCGGCAGCGCTGCATCCAAGTCCCTTAAGAGACGTGCCGTGATTTCCACCCAGCATAGCTGAGCCCCTGCGAAACAAACAACTCAACGCCAACAGGGCAGAGTGGTTGTCCCGGGATCATCGCAGGCAGCAAACTACTCACCTAAGAGCAATGCGATGTCCCGTGTGGGTTTTCTCAGCCTCACGTCGAAGCTCCTCTTCCCCTGTCCGTTCATACAGGAGTGCCGGCGCGCTGCGCTAGGAAATGCTGATACCAGGGTGAGAGCCACGTTCCCCAGAACAAAAGCAAGTTTAGTAAATATAACTACATCCTAGTAGCAGCTCTGGGAGCTACATCAGCAAAATACACTTTTCCACGCTCTAGCAGGTAACTTTTTCACAGATGCCTGGTGTGCATATAACTACCTGCGAAGAGTTGGCTTTCTTTAAAACTTCGGTATATTGCAGAAATGGATTAAGAGAAAATCTCAATTTTTGGGAAGAACCCAAAGCTAAAAAAGTTTATTAACTCTTTCAAGTTGCAGAGAAAAGACTGAAAACAGGTCCTTAATGTGGCCTAAGGCCTCAGAAACCAAATGACAAACCCCATCAATTTCATAAAAATAAGGTTTTCTGATACAACTGTAGGAATTGAGAGTACCTACAAGATAACTAAGATGATGTTACAAAATTCAATGAAATTATTTTGAGGGGGTCTTGTTTGTTATATAAAGCCCTGTAACGGTTTGATCTAGCCACTACTTCTACTAAGGCCTATTTAAAAACATGCAGTTTAATAAAAAACATATCTTTGAAAGGTAGTTCACTTCTCATCACATATATTCACTGTGAACTCAAGGCTAGGTCTCATAATTATGTGACTAACGTATTGTTTTGCTCCCATTTCCTTGCCAAATCAACACAGCTCAAAGAGAAGGAATTGAAACCTATTCCTTCCTGTGAATCATCACACAGATTGTTTGCAGGACTCCAGTCAATTGCAGATGGAAACTCACTCAGGAGAATGTTTTTTAGTGCTGGTTTGTTTTTTTTTTCCTTTACTAGAGGTAACGGGGAAGCAAACTATTTCACTTAGAACAGAAAGCAGAGAGAGTTGGGCAAATTTAAGACTTAATTGCCCAAACCTATCTGTATTCTATCAGAATAATTTTGTTATGCAGTTTATAAAATTAAGCCTTTTTTTCACAGTAAATTAGTGTTGCTTTCCCTTTAGTAAAGGGCTCCATTAAATTAAACTTAAAAAAATATCAATCCCATGCTTTCTTCATGATTCTCAGCTGTTTTGTTACAGACAGTGCAACAGTTCGACCTTCTTTGGAAATGTTAATTGAATCAATGTAAATGATCACAAATTTCAGCCTCTGGAATGCATCCACCTATTTATGTAGTCTCTAAATTGAACTTCAAATTACCAGAGTAGGTTATGGTTACCATAGCCTTTACCTTAATGCATTCCAGTGAAGTTAGTTTGCTTCTGTTTTTTTTCTCCCATTTTGGGACAAAAGAAGTGAATTCCAGCTTCCAGTGAGAAAATAGTAAGTCCATATAGAACATGTTAGGGAATGAAATGAGAAGACAAACTCTATAGACTGTACGGTTCAAGAGATATAAGAGTGGTGCAGGGTCTCTGCCTTCTTTCCTGGCAGGGCTTTCAGTCCCACAATAACTTAAGGGTCTTAGTTCTGACCTAGTTCCAAACTGCAGTTATGTACAACAATTTGACACTGTAGCAGAGAAGATGAGATTCCTGACTCTGCCAAAAGAATCTATCCATAGGTCTATCTCACAAGACTACACACAAACTCTTAGCTCAACTTGTAAATCACAGGGAAGGCTTTGCTTGTCTTTTGTACCAGGAACAGGAAACCTAATTCAGTGACAACTGAGAGATTTAGAGAGCTGTTAGTACCAGCAAGGAGAGGAGCACACTAAGCAACATACAATGATTATGCCAACAGTAACAAACCCCCACCCTACTGCTACCAAATTCAGCAGCAGAACTTCAATGAGAGTGAGACTCACCCCTAAAAGCACCAGAAATCATTCCCTGTCTTTTATGTTTCTGAACCAAAGAGCCTAGGAGCTGCTTCCGTCCACTAGGCCTGCCTTTAGTTTTCATATTTAACAGTTTCTTATGCTTCCATCTTTATTTTAAGATCTCTTTGGGATTTCAAGAATGTTGCATTTACATGTATGTAACTAATATTACTGCTTTAAGAACAAATGCCCAGTAGAGTTTTCTGCTTAGTTTCTCTCCCAACTAAGACTAATTTGGCTCAGATCAAAATGGTGGGAAAAATAGAGATGCACAAAGAATAGGACTTACACACTGAGAGCTGTGCCAGTTTCTGATTATCAGATCCATCATATCTCCACTTACTGAGGTTTATACATATCTCAGTGGAAATAGGAAAAAATAACCACTTTGACTTGATGTTCCTCCTTCCCTTGTATTTCTTCAGTTCTTGTTTGAAAAAAAAACCTTACTGTACTTCCACGCTTGAATGGGTTCAGATGGAAGGTAGGAAAATGCATCTCAAATGCTTTAACTGGACACTGGGAAAAACATTAAAAACATGGGACAGGAAAGTGGAACTCGCTTAGAGAGAGAATCAAATGGAAACCAAGAACTTTAGGGGAAGACCTGGTAATAGGGAGGGGTGGCAGGGAAGGAAGTATTAGAGAGACTAATCTTACATTTATTCCCAGACTTCTAAGTGTATGGAAGTAAAACCAAACAACACAGAGAACTGAAAAAGGACAAAGGATGAGAGAGTAAGAAAAGAGATGAGGTTCAAGAAGATGGAAAGAAATTGAGGTAGGATCTCATACAGAAGGAACAAAGAACATCCACAAGTGACAGCAAAATTCTAAATAAAATAAAATAAATTTTAAAAACCACCCCAAACCCCAAACAACTAATTTAGAATTAAGGATTTTTCAATATATAAATTAGTTTATTTTCATTTAGATATAAAAGTTATAAATACAATTAATGTAAAACGGTATCTGATAAAGAGCACTGAATCAGTTCATCTGTCTGTATAATTTGACTGAGAGGCCCTGACAGGATCATTGATGTCAACAAATAGCTTGAAGAGCCACTTCTGACGGGCCTAATTGAGTAAAGGGATGTTACTGTGGCCTTCTGAGCACACAGAAAATCATCTTGAATTGGAAATTAGCATTCTAACTTCGGGTCATCCCAAAATAACATAAGGCAGTTTCTTTCACACATTCCTAGTCAGAAAAATAATCAGACAGGTACACAAATGGACATCATATTTCTGGATGGGTAGCAGGAATGCAGAACCATCAGCCAAGACCTCAGAAGAACACAGCTGGAAAGCATTGCCATCCCTAAGCTGATGAGCAGGAAGTACACAAAGGCACAAAAGAGATCCATCAGGATTCAAGTTCTCTTCACTGACTGCTTTTCTGATGAGATCATCTCAAGACAATGGTTCACCAGCTAATGCAGAATGGTCATCTGAGAGATACCCGAGATGGACTTCTCAGCATCAATTCATAATTTACAGTTAAATACAGAGTTTACACATGATTACCATAACTATTTTTTTCTGGCAATATCAGAAAACGTCTCCACAAAATTTTGTTAATTTGAAAGAGTGAGTGATCTTCACCACTGCAAAGACTCCAGAGACCGAAAACAATCTATCTGATCTTTGCAGCTTAAAACAGAGTTAGTCTGCTGACAAGAACAATACCCAAAGCTGAAGCACAACTAATTCTCGTCTCAAGAGAAGGACAGTCTTTTCCAGGACCATCATGAATATGTGTAATGGCCATGAAACAGGCAAGATAGGATTGTTCCAAGATAGGATTGTTGCAAGATTGCTCTCTGCTTCAGTAGACAGCAGGTGTGTACACTACAAGGCCTCCATGTCACACCGTGCAGCAATCCACTCTAATGAGTTAAGGCCATATGAATCAAGAGGTGTTCCATGCTGTGACCTACAGACTCTATATTGTACATCCAGTATTAAAAAAGGAACACTCGAAGGAGGACACATTGCAAAGCATCATGACACAATTGCTTTAAACTTACTGATACCTTTAAAAATACCTGTAATCTCTTTTTGATATAACTCCTTCTTATAGTCAGGTTAAAATTATTTATATAAAATCTACTTTAATGTGTCATGACTTGAGATAATCTCACATTAAAAAGTTAAATTGGTCACAAATCTATTCCTAGAAATGCAGCAAATTTTATGAACAATGGACAATTCAATCACAACACTGCTTTTCAGGAACAGTACTGTATTTTGTTACAATATTACCTTCTGTCGTCTATTCAGTCTCATTTTAACAGAAGCAGCAATGAATACAATATCACTATGTGAAAAGGCAGTGTTTGAGATTTGACTGTTCTTTATTTGGTAAAAAGACTGTCAAGGGATAGAGAACAATTAGAATACTGAAAGGGAAATGGATTATCAGCCTTAACAGATAATCATTTCACAAACTAAAAGTGTTGTATTAGAGCCAATGTC